GAGGCAACCAGGAGGCCTCCCTCCCCGGGAACCAATGGCAGGCGAGGAAGATGAAAGGTGTGTACTGGGAACCTCCCCCAGCAAGGCTCACACCTGATAGCAAGATGATGCAGGAACGCTATGCTCCTGGGGATGCGCGCGCAGCCTGCGTACTGCGCATGCACACACGCCGCGTGACTCGAGCATGCGCAGCTGCACCTCGGGCACCAGGTGTTCTACCGAGCTGAAGGGGAACCTGTGCCGTGCCCGTGGTCCCCAAGTAGAGGTAACACCCCCTGCTTCCTGACACTAGATCACCATTAATCTGCCTGCTCGCCTCCTCCCTGCAGAAAGACAAGCAGGTAGTGGGGGCAGGGAGCTTTAAGGTAATATTGTTTAAGTTGTTAATATTTATTTTTGTAACTTTATTCTGCATAAAACATGTAACAGTGTCATTGATAAAATTATTTACGAGGGCGTGTTTGGGGACGGAGTTAAGGCCGCAGCAGGGTAGGGGGTTAGGTGGGCAACTGGTTGTGAGTAACTCTTAAGGCCTGGCTAGTAGCTCAGGACTTGAAATTATGACCCCTGGCTTGGTTAATAATTGAATATGCAGTATAACAGAACCTCGGTCCCCCAACATAGTTCTAGTATCCCCATAAGCTTGATGTAATCTTCAGCACCCTTATTAATTACAACCAATACATGTGCAAACGTCCTAAAGAATCACACTTAGGCTTATTCATCAGCATTTAGGAAATCTGCTGCCTTTTTCATTAAACATGCTTTAGATTACTGTATGTTAAACTGTACTGTAATTTTTGACATTTTTAAAATATTAATTCTGGTTGATTCTTTTTGCCAGCTGGGAATTCTTGCAATAATTATGTAAAGTCTAAATGATGATAGCTTGAGGTTAGTGTGTCTCCAAGGAATGTCAGTGTGTATCTTTAGCGTAATGAGAATGTTAAACAAGGGAAATAGATGCTTTTTCATTGAGCACATGAGATTTTTAAAATCTGTTTGATTAGCATCATTGTTGAATTATATATAAATACATTGTGGAGTCTACTACATTTGTGGATTCTGAATGTACAATATCGAGTAGAAAAAATGAAGGTAATAGCAAATTTAATGCTTTATAACTATATGCATTTCAAATTTCCAAATTTAAGTCTTACAGTGTTTTTGAGTGTGTTCAGGGGTGCTATAAGAGAAAAAAATAATTAAACTGCTAAAAAGCAGTATATACTTCAAGAATAAATTACAGTTGTAAAACTACCAAATGAAAAAAGTAATCAGATTTTACAGCTAATTTAAAACTTGGGTTTTATACACATGGGTAGTTTTTTTATTTTTGTCTTTAAGTTCCAGCACTTGTCAGACTCTTATTCAGTTCCCAGGTGTTATGCAAGTCTTTTCAGACACAAATAAAATGCTCTGTGAACATGCAAATCAATCCTATTACACTTCTGAAAGAAAAGGAACTAGTAGCTGTAATTGGGAGTGTGTTATCTTTATATGTTTTATATGTTTTGTTTTATGGTTCACATTGTGTGCTGAAAAAAACATTTCTGAATTTTTCTCAAATGCTGAACTCTGGTTCAAAAACCTGACCTTGGCTATCGTGATAATGACCATCTCCCTTTGTATTGCAACTTATTTATTGTTCAACTTATTTATTAATGACATCGGGGAGGGTGTTAACAGCGATATTTCTGTGTTTGCGGATGACACCAAAATAGGGAGGGTAATAGACACGGACTTAGACACTATAACATTACAGGAGGACCTGGATAAAATAGGGGAGTGGGCATTAATGTGGCAGATGAGGTTTAATGTCGATTAAATGCAAAGTAATGCACTTTGGAATTAAAAATAAACAAATGGGTTATACAATTATGGGTATGCCGCTGGGGAAGTCAGAAATGGAGAAGGATTTGAGGGTCATTGTAGACCACAAACTGAAAGGTAGTTTGCAGTGCCAGGCTGCTGTAAACAAAGCTAGCAGGGTCTTGTCCTGTATTAAAAAGGGGATGTATTGCAGGGACAAGTCTATAATTTTGCCACTTATAGATCATTGGTTCGACCTCATCTGGAGTACGCGGTCCAGTTCTGGGTCACCAGTACTAAGAAAAGATGTCCTTGAGTTGGAAAAAGTCCAGCGAAGGGCAACCAAACTAATTAGGGGTATGGAGGACCAGAGCTACGAGACGAGGCTACTAAATTTAAACATGTTCACATTAGAGGTGAGGAGATTAAGGGGGGATATGATTTCCATGTACAAAATGTTTAATGGTGGTAGCAACATTAGCGATAAACTGTTTAAAATTAACTCCGTTACAAAAACTAGAGGCCATCACCTAAAATTGATGGAAAAAAAATTCCAGCACAAGGGGCGAAGGGGGTTCTTCACAGTAAGATCAGTTAGGGTCTGGAACTCACTGCCACAGGCGGTGATTTCAGCAAATAATGTGGAATTGTTCAAGAAACTTTTGGACGATTTCTTAAGGGACCGTAATATACAGGGGTACGGGTACTCCTAGAATGAGATCCTAATAGGTTGGACTTGATGGACTAATGTCTTTATTCAACCTCAAATACTATGTAACTATGTAACTATTGCCTAATTACTGCTAACCTGAACTATCCTGTCTGTTAATTCAGAATTGAGAAAGCTGGTCGGATGTCCAGTGAAACCTCTCCAAGACAAATACAGCATGTCCAGTTGCCTTGACTTATTTTTGACAGACATACCATGACCTGGATGAATGAGAACCTTCACATATAGCCTGTCAGTTCTCTGAACCATATTTCTTTTAGTGATGCATGTGTAACAGTGTAAAATGCTTACAGTAGGAGACAGTAAAGTGATAACCTCATCATTACCCTATAGTTTAAAAGTACAGATGCATCTTGATGCAATGAAGGGGTAAGAGGACAGTATACAAATATCCAGTGCATTTCAGGCTCATACAAATACCCACTTCATCAGGGCTTACTAAGGGAGAACATGTATGAGGACTGTGCTGACTTGAAATTGGATACCATTTTGTCCAGTGTGTAGGAATGCATAGAGCTCTTTAGCAGCTAATGGTATGAGCCCCAAAAATGCAATGGCTAGTCCTATACTGTCCCCTTAACCCTACTTTGAATTGAATGTATCTGGACTAGTAAACTGAGTGTGCCACTTTAATTCACAATCCTGCAATTTTACACTACAAATCAAGGAGACGGTGGAGATCTTCTGGAATGTGGAAGCTGCCTGTTCGATAGTCAAATCACCTATGCTGATTCTTTGGCGTCATAATTGACCAATCGCACCAATAGAATAAACCTTGTGGCTCCAGCACTTTTATTCCACTTCTTTCCTTAATACTTTCCAAGAACTCTTCCTTTTTATTGGTTCATTCAAAGCAGCGACATCGCCACTAGTTTACTTAGGAATTTTCATATATTTTTAATGGTAGGTTTTAGAAGTGTCAGATCCCTTTTAAATTATGCTGTCAGCTGCATAATTGTGAACTTTTCAGGTTCCATTAAAATATACATTAAGATGATCAATTTTAGTAGTAAAGCATGTTCAAGACAGTTGTTATATCTAACATATTTTTTTGCAGAAATTCCACATATTGCATGAAGGTGTCTATGTCCTTGACCGTGGCAGAACAGGAGGTGGGGCTTTGTTACAACAGCAGAATACGGTATGTGGAAAAGGCAGAAGTCACAAAAAGAAAAGTGATCTCATGCCCTGATATTGACGACTACAAAACACCAAATGAAAGCACAGTTGTTGCATGGTATAAGGTAAGTACAGACATATCAATAATTTTCTATAGACTGCAGTAATACCCCGTATTGCTTAAAGTGACCTTTGCTATTTCTCTTGCTATCCTGTCTAACCATACAAGTGCACAGAAGCTTCTTTGCTACATCTCTCCTGTCACAGCTCTCTCGGAATCCCTAGACAGCTGCTGTGAAAAGTCTGTATTAAACTCTACTTAACTTTCAGAAGTCTGATGTCCATGAACTCAAGTCTAGATACTGTTACATCATCCCCCCTTTCCCAAATGGCTGGAATTATTTTTTCTTCTGTTGGCTATACTGGCAATAGGGAAATAAACTGGTGGTACTCTGTCTAAAAAAGTTTTGGTTGGAGACGGAGTAGTTTTTTACACTGTTAGCAGTGATTTTTACCACTTTTTGCCTGTACAAGCCATTAAGCCAAACACCCTGAACCTGTTTTATAGTTGTTTCGAGCACCTAACCTGCAGGGATACCTGCTATTAGAAGCTGTACATGCTGTAGCTGCAAACTAAGAAATAACAGAATTAATCTGGTGGACAGACTCAATTATAAATGCAGCCACAGCTGTTTTATTGATTATCCACGTAAAGAATGCCGTTAGACACAGCTGCAGAGAGAATTTGATGTCTCCGTTGGAATTATCAAAGACGTTCTTGCATTTAAGCATTAAGCACCACCATAGACGCCAAGGCAACACATTAGTAAATTTGGCAGCCCCGTACTCTTAGATGTCTCTCTAGTGAAAGCTTTTCTAAACAGAAGCTATCCAGGCACATTATGTGCTGTGTCCAGTGGATATAATTCCAGTCTTGTAATATCACAGAATGTGTGATAACATTTATAAATGAGTGGCTGTTACACTAAGCCTCGGAACAGTATTGTCATGTGCGTGACTCAGCCATGGAAGCGTAAGTAAAACAATATTAAGAGTCACCTGGGAGCTCTGTTTTCAGGTCCTGCCATTCACAGAACACACAATGGGTAATGAATGGTTCTTCAGTCCTTTCGTAGAGAGTGCATGAATCTGGCAGAGTGTCAGCTAGAGCATAATGCACCATCTTAGAATTGTAGGTCTCAATTCGATTATACCTCCTGCTACTCCTGCAACTTTTATTTATGCTGATGTGGTGTGCTCTCCACTTGCTTGGGATATTGAAACACTTTACTAAAGTTTGCTAGTGTCACTGTACTGTAAGATATTATCCTTGCATAGCACAATGTGCATCTTATACAGGTACATAATTCAACTAAGTCACAATAGGCTTATTTCAAGGTACAATACATAATGTTATATATCACATGTATTCAGTATTTATTCAGTTAGATTCACTAATCTAACCTTTTAACATAGCTAGAAGAAAACCGTAACAGTCTGTAAACATTTAATCAAGTTTTTTTATATATAATATATATATACTGTATATAAAGCCAAAACTCTTTTTCATTTGGAATAGAGTAGAGGAGTATTAAAGGCACTGCCAGGTTTTTTTGTTGTTTTTTGCCATCTGTGATCTGTGTCTAGTTTTGAAGATGTCACTTTACTTTCTGTGCTGTGAGAAGTTACCTTTCCAATGTTAGGCCCCTTTTACACGGTCGGTCCAATCAGGTCCACCTGTCAGTTTTCTAGGTGGCTCTGATCAGAAGCCCAATGTAACTCTATGTGCAGATCAAAAACAGATTTGTATTCAATTACCTTTGACTCCATCTAGGTCTGGAAAACAAATGGAACAGTGTTCCATTTTGGCAAACCGGAGGTAATCAGATGTAAATGGACACCTGTATGTATGCTTACATCCAACTCTCCATAGACACAGCTCAGTTGTTTTTTTTTGAGCATGTACTCTTTATTGAAAAGGTTTTTGTTAGGCAAACAGATCAATCCATAGTGGGACAACTGTATATAAAGCCTAAACTCTTTTTCATTTGGAATAGAGTAGAGGAGTATTAAAGGCACTGCCAGGTTTTTTTGTTGTTTTTTGCCATCTGTGATCTGTGTCTAGTTTTGAAGATGTCACTTTACTTTCTGTGCTGTGAGAAGTTACCTTTCCAATGTTAGGCCCCTTTTACACGGTCGGTCCAATCAGGTCCACCTGTCAGTTTTCTAGGTGGCTCTGATCAGAAGCCCAATGTAACTCTATGTGCAGATCAAAAACAGATTTGTATTCAATTACCTTTGACTCCATCTAGGTCTGGAAAACAAATGGAACAGTGTTCCATTTTGGCAAACCGGAGGTAATCAGATGTAAATGGACACCTGTATGTATGCTTACATCCAACTCTCCATAGACACAGCTCAGTTGTTTTTTTTTGAGCATGTACTCTTTATTGAAAAGGTTTTTGTTAGGCAAACAGATCAATCCATAGTGGGACAAATGTAATCATACATACAGAAGTAATAGCAGTAGAAGAGAACAATCGAATAACTGCAGAATCAAGAACAATATCGAACAACTTCACAATCAATTCCCGAGACTTGTTGTGGAGGGGGCAGGCGGGGTGAGGATCAGAATAAAATGACTAGGACTAGGAGGTTGCAAGTGGTTTTCGTAGCAGTATTAGTTTATGAGCCATAGGTTGGAACGTTAAAGCACATCCAACGCCCCCAGAGAGTCGGAGGCCTTAGAGGCGAGATATAATTTTGTGTCCTGGAATAAGGACATCACCTACTTAAGCCGTCCTGTATCTAGTTCGGTCAGTAAAAACGGGGTCCAGGTGGGGAACAACTCAGGTTTTTTTTTTTGTCGCAAGAGTCGCATCCATTCCATACTGCTCCGACCAGCAGGGGATCTGTGCACCTGTCTGAAAGGGACCTAAGGTATCAAGTGCCACAGGAAGAAATGTCCCCATTAGAGGATTCCCTCTATTCCTGTTCTTGTGGCAACTCAAAATTTACACTTTTATTACCAGTGACATTAGTGATTAGGGCATTACAGAGGGCGAATCTCTCTAATAAGGACACAGATATCAATAAAAACTTCACAGTGGTTTTGACCCCTCACCCCTTTTTCTAAATTTAAATATAAAAAAAAAAAAGTTGTACTTTAAGGTAATGATTTGGGGAGGGGAATGAAGCCATAGCTTTTGTAAAGAGTATGAAATGATTCTATTATATATGCTCAGCTTCTGGAAACATCTATTTTGCATGAAGAGAACTTTTTCAAATATGCTGATTGCTGGAGATGAAAGGTAGGCAAGGTAGACAAAAAAAAAGCAATATATTTGCTATTGGTTCTAGCTTTTCAACTTATATTGGAAAATACATCTCTCCAGAAAGTTATTTAAATACTTTACATATTTAAACTGCTCAATTATGTTGCTTTTCTTTTACATGTCATCCTTCAGGCTGTACATGTTAAGAGTGCCCCATTCTGGAGTGCATTTTATTTAAAATCAGCTATATTTTTGTAATATAAGACACTGTTAAAATGAGAATTTGCAGCAGAAGTACTCTCCTCAGTGTGACATGCAGGAACGTGACAGATGTGAGTCAGATGAAGTGTCTCTACTTAGCCATTCTGCTTTTTCCCAATTCAGCTCACTAACAAGGACTCAGTGCTAACTTATGTAAAATAGCTGTACATTTCTGCAAACCCTGTGCCGCCTTCACTCTCATCCTGTATATTATACTGCCTCTCAATGTTCATGGCATTGTTTATGCTTTAGTATGCAGATTGATCTGCACACAACAGAACTACATGGACATTACTGTTTGCTCTGCTTGGACTAAACTTTTCCATCTTTTTTTCTGTAAAATTGAACATAATATTCTTACTGTTTTTTATCAATTCGTCTTATAATTCCAACTGGCTGCCAAGCTGCACTGCATTTTTTCACTTGTCCAAAAAAGGTTTGATTGTATTTTAAACCATATTCCATATTCCAATCCTTAGATGTGATGACTGCATTAGTTTCCTTTTTTTAGGCTTCTTTTCACTTGGTGCTCCTGCCAGGAACACACTTCCTGTCCCAGGGTGACAACACTGCCTCACTGTACTGTATCTATCTAGGAGCAGCATTGTCACTTCAGGACAGGACTATAGAACACCCTCCCATCTTCTTTTCTTCTAGTCTACAGGTTTTCCGTAGTCTATAGAGAGAACCTGAAATCATGTTAAGCGATAAGAGTGAAGTATAGGCACACAGTAGAGTCCACGGGAAGTTCCGCAGGATTCTGGTAGGACCAACACTTATTTCGTGCACTTTTTAAATAGCTATAAAAACACGCTTTCAATGGTATATTTTGCAGACCAAAAGGGAGCAAATAAAAATATATAATTGTTAGGATTTATATACACTTTTACCCATGTCTCTCCTTTGTAGTACTTACCCTCCACTCTACTTCCAAATCAAAATTCATTCACTTTAAATTCCTTATTGTAGTTTTAGCAGCACTGAGTTATGAATGAAAAAAAAATATCTAAAAATAATCTCCCACTGTTGTTGTTCACTAAAAGTTGTTTTCCTTGAGCCGAACAGCCTCTGCTCTGTGTATAATGTAAGGCTTGTCTAAGCAAAGTGCAGCTTTAAGGCTAGATGCATTAGCTCAGTAGGGACACACACTCCTACTGTACACTACTGTGGTGCGAATACTTGAGACACTTTAAGAATCTTCTAGAATTTGCTATAACTTCTTTACTGAGAAAATAATTAAAATGATTCAGCTCCTGGCTCACCGCTGCAGTTATAAGCACTATCATTATTGCTAGTAATTTACTTCTTATAAAGTTTAGTTAGTATTTTACTGGATTTATTTTTTGCTCTCATCTTCCTTTCTGAAAAGACAATTCACTGTGACATTTAAAAGACCTTTTCAAACCAGTTTTCCCATATAATTAAACATATTGCGTTGTTTTGTTTTGAGACTCTCTCTTGTCTATCAATTTAAAATAATTCTAAAATAACAAAGCATATGTATGTCTTATTGTGTTCTGGACTCACTAGTTTGTGATGCTAAGAAGTAGCTCATGCATTTAACTGCATTGTATTGTCTCTTAATTGTGCTTTCTGTGCAGGAATGTAAGCCAAAGAAATGGAGAAGCCTGATAATACTGAAAGGAAACAGCCTTTTGATACAAGACGTTCAAAAAGACGATATGGGGAATTATACTTGTGAAATAAAGTTTGAAGGCAGACCAATCAGGCGAACTGTCCAGTTAAAGGTAACAGGTAAGAGTTGGTACAGATGCATTCTGTAATATAATAATGGAGAGTCTTCAGGAATTTGACAATATATTGAAATACTCATATTTGGACACATTTAAAGCTTATTTATAAAGTCTGTGAAGCAATGAGGATGTAGGAATGTGAGTAACCCATAGCAGCTAATATTTCAGGGTACTGTAGTCATATTAAATAAATACCAACTCTGGTCACAAATAATTAGAAATGCTGCAGCTTTCATTTTTTTGCTTATTAAATAGGTCTGCTATTGTCCATTTAAAAAGAGCGTCATCATGATTTTAGCAAGTGCATATGAATTATACTAGTTTGCCTCAAAATGATATTTGGTGTGACGTTCAAATGTCAAATTCTTGCTCTGCTATAATTTCATAATGGTATTTGTTATACAGATTTTTAGAGTCTTCCTCTGGTGGTCAGTTGTACAGCATTCACTGAAAAGCTGATAGTTATACTTGATGATTCCCTAACAAAATATAAAAAATATAAGTGGATAAAAGCTCTTGTCTGTCCAACCATTTTTTTCCTCTCTTCCCTCCTAGACCCTAAATTTTCTCCAAATGTAAGACATCTATAAGTGCTTCATGGGCATATTTTAATTAATCCCTCACAGTTATTTGTCCAGAGGTGTGTATGTAGAGATTCTACTTTGGAAACTTTTGGGCCCCCTAGGTTTTGGCAACAAATAATAATAAAATGTTTGGGTTTACTTTGGTCTCTTCTGCAAAAATGTGTGTTTTGTAAAGCAAAAGTTGATGTCAGATGTTTATCAGTGAATGAAGACTAAGTGACTACTTGATGTTTGCAGACTTCTATGCTTTTAAAACATTCAATAAAAATGTATTTTAACAGAGAACTACTCTGGAGCCTTGGAGTACTCAGAGCTACATTTCATTTGTTTGTTTGTTTTTTTGGCTAAAAATAGAACCAAAAAGCCCTTGTTTGCAAAAATCTACCTATTGAGGGTTTTTTTTTCTTCACAAATATGCACCCTGTTGATTTCCACTCACTCAAAGCCAACAATATCTGAGACTTCATTAGATTAGAAAAAATTTAAATGTGGTATGCTATGTTTTTCAATTTTCAGTGAGAATAGAACAAGACCACATTCTGAGAAATAAATACATTTTATAGTCTAATATAAGCCAAAATGGCTGAAGTGAGGGAAATTCTTCCCAACAAGGATATATAAAACAATAAAAAACCTAATGGAGACTGTAATCCTTTCCCATGCAAGCAAAAAAATTAATAAAGGATTTGGTTGGAGTTAGCCTTTAAAGCCAAACTCTAGGCAGATATAAATAAAAAAACACATAGTTACATAGTCAGGTTGAAAAAAGACCATCAAAAGTCCATTGAGTTCAACCTATAGATATACATTATCATTAATGCTAGTAATTTAGTTATTATAAAGTTAAAATATCATTAATGTTATTTTTTTTAATGTAAGCAGTGTAAGTCCCCAAAATTGACCTTGTATTAACCTCTTGCAGACCTCTCTACAGCTGTGTTTTGAGTGTGAGAAAAAGAAGCAGTACAAGTAGCCAATCCGTTTATATGCTGACAACAGCATGCTGATAGGAAGATAAAGCTGAGTGAAAACAACAAACTCATCACTGTGCTGCTTCTGTCAGTAATTGGATATGCAGAGCCCAATAGCAGGGGCTTGGGATAGCGTACTCGGGAGAAGAATCAGGCACAGATTGCAAAAATGTGGCACAAAAGGGTAAATCGAATAATCATAGTCAAACAAAGCATACGGTCAGGGCAGGCAGCAAAGGATCAAACTCGATAAATGAAGCAAAGGTCAGGTAACGGAATCACACGGCTAGTACCTTTTAACACACTGTTGATAGCTCAGAAATAAGTGAGCACTCTCTCTCTCTGGAACCTTGCAACTTTATAGCGATCAAACAGGAAGTGATGTCAGGAGTTGTGGCAGAAGGGATGCAATTCCTTTCTATAACAGGAAGCACTCCAGTGCTGCCATTTTGATGTAAGGATGCCATTAAACATGTGCAAGAGGCCTCACTGTTTTCATGCTGGGAAGTTATAGGACACAAGGCACTGACAAGAGTGCGAAGGACCGACATGCTTCGAGTGGGAGGACCCCCACAATTAATACAGGTAAGTTGAGAATTGTGACAGCTTCTCCCCTTACTGTCCACTCACAAACTGTGGTGAGTCCAGGCTGACCTTAAAATAGACAAAGTAGACTTAATTAGTGCAGAGTACAGCGCTAAAAGTCTCACAGTGTTACATTCAAACTAGTGGTGTATAAAAAGAAAAATGCAATAAAGTATCAAACTTGCTGTGTATAATAAATTATCTGAAAAACTCTGTGTATAATAAAATAACTGTGTATAATAAAGTATCCAAAAAAATCCTCTGTGTGAGTGAAACAGTAGTAGCAAACTTAGACCTGTGACAAAATATATATATGTGCAAACAAAATATATATATTCTCAATTCACCAGACCAGGTATCAATCTAGACCTCTCCCAAAGGAGACCAGGTGTATGAGTAAATATATATCAAAAAAACTTTGTGTAACTATATAATAAACTATAATCTAATATACTATAATATATGTCGAACAATTTCAGTGACAATTACATCTATAGTAACATCTGTGCAATCCAAATGTTACGAAAACAACGTTGCGGAAACATTTGAGTCCAAAAAATATCAATATCAAACATATACCATAAAAGTATATATAAAAACCGCTTATTTTCTTCCAAAACAAATTTATAGTGAAGTTCAAAAAATGTATATATATATCCAAGAAACAATCTTCCCATAATAAAATTAACAGAGCGAAGAACCCCTCTAGGGTATGCACTCACCAAACTTCAGATGTCATTAAGCCCTATATCTCACCGAGATGGAAGCCACAGTTCATCGTCCGAGCTTTAAGATGTTTGATCAGTCGTGGACCCCACCAGAATGGAAGCCGCAGCTCACCTCACTGATTTCTCCTCAACGGCCGCCAGAAACTTTTACATATGTCCCCCGATAGTTCAACGGCCAAATTGTTTCACCGACACTTTGTCCACGAGCCTCTGTGTGATCTAGCTCAATGTGAGCTCTTCACTGGCTTCTTAGGAGACACCTGGGATCAATAATCCCCTCCCCCTGTTGTCAGTGGCACACAAAAACAACTGACAACAGGGGTAGTGAGAGACTTAAGCACAAGTTCTGTTTCTTCAAAGTAGACTTAATAACGCTGGCCATCAGACTGAGGACATCTAGCTGGAGGAAAAAGCACTGTGGAGAAAATCTTTGGGTTGAGGGAGATAATTGCAGCTTGTGTTACTTTTTTGGGCTATCAATTTTTATTTTTGGCTGGTGCTTTTCCAGTCATACTCTTCTCATTATACAGATTCTTAGGATATGTTTATTTTTCTTTGGAAGTGGTTGAACTTAAATTACAACACCCTGTATAAGAATAGGATTAATACTTACTTTTCCAATCAGGCAGTGACTCTAGTCAATGGTATCCAACACTTCCAGGTATGGCAGATAGCTTGCCCCCTGCTGCACACTGGTTCCACCTACTGGCTGATAAGTCACTACACCGCACAGATGTGATATATTTGCTAGTGAGTAGAACCAAAGCATGAAGTGGAGGATCAAGCTTTCAACAAACTTAGAAGTGTGGGGTACCAGCCATAGCTCTGCTAGAGAGAGAAAACTGGACTGACTGGTGGAAAGGTAAGTGTTATTTATCTCCTAAATGGTAGACATGTTCAGTGGCTAAAAATTTGTTTCGGATTTTGTTTATCTCGTTTTTCGGAATTCGGATCCTATATGTGTTTTGTTTCGGGGATCGTATTTGGATCTGATTTGGAATTCGGACGAATTCCCGGAAATTCAACTTGAGGTGGGGTAGCAGAATTGGCACATTTGTAATTTCTGGTTGCGGTGCTCTAGTCTTTACTATTAAAGGGACATTAAAATCCTTTTAATTAATTTGTTTTTATCTGTTTAAATGTTAACAGTGCACGCACCATATGTGGGCGAAATTTGTGCCTAAATCCGAAATTTCGGATTCGGATGATTTTGGATATGTTACATTTCGGAAATTCGGATGCTTCGAATCTACGAATTTCCGAAATTGCGTCCGAATTTCGATTGGGAACGAAAAACAAATCTCACTTGTCTACTAAACGGTGCCCGTATTTTCATTTGTTTAGTCTAGTGGAGGGGTTGCAGCAAGATGTTAGTGATTGCTTGTTTTACAGCTCTTGTGCCTCTTTTCAAGAACATTTAAATACTTTTGTGTCCATGGTCTGGGCACAGGTGCATTTCAAATGGTGGCAAGTAGCATGCTATATATTAAGAGATAGAAGATCTCAAAGTATATATTTTTACCAAAGCAGATGAAGATGAACATCAGTCGCTATGTATAAGCCAACCTGGAAATGTTTTTATTATGGGTGCCGTGTGCCATTACATTGAGCCAAGAGTCATGAAATAATGGAGCACTTTTAGCTGAATTTTTCAGTGTATTTAATAATGCTTATCCTAGTTGAGTTTGACTTAGTTTGTAGATTCCGTAGCCCTTAAGTCAAAGTTGATCTAAAGGTTTTTTTTATTTGTATCTAATTTTGTACAATTTCCAATCTGTCATGACAGTCTTTGTCCCTTTTTTTAATAGTCAAACTGCATAATGTGGATGATCTCTGAATTAAAGTGAAATTTTCTGTGCACTTATCATTTTACACTACATTTAACACAATTAAAGCTTGAAGTGGCTCTATATCCACAGCTCATAGCAAGATTTACTAGAGTAAAACAAAGCCAACATTCAGATTGCAAAATGCCTTTTTTTTTCACAAAGATTTTGAGTTTTTGTTTTTCAAGATAACATGTTAGCAATGTAAAGAGTACATCATAGCATTAAAATGGGTATAACAAATGTTTCTGGAAAATTCTAACAATTAGCGAGATCCATACAGTAACCAGAAAAGCTCATAAGACAA